TTCTTCCCAGCCATGAGCATGGTTATATTCTTCCATTTGTTAATATCTTCTGCTTTGGCTTGGTGCCTGTGGCTCAAGTGGCTAAGGCACCAGCCACATACACCTAAGGTGGCAGGTTCAAATCCAGCCCAGGCCCACCAAAACAAAAATGGCTGCAACCAAAAAAAAGGCCCGGTGCCTGTGGCTCAAGTGGCTAAGGCACCAGCCACATACACCTAAGGTGGCAGGTTCAAATCCAGCCCAGGCCCACCTAAACAATGATGGCTACAACCAAAAAATAGCCGGGCACAGTGGCAGGTGCCTGTAGTCCCAGCTACTTGGGAGGTTGAGGCAGGAGACTCGCTTGAGCCCAGGAGTTGGAGGTTGCTGTGAGCTGCAATGCCAGAGCACTCTACCCAGGGGGACAGCCTGAGGCTCTGTCTCAAAAAAAAAAAAATATCTTCTGCTTTTTCTTTTCTTAAGGTTTCATATTGAGGTCCTTCACCTCTTTTGTTAGGCATATTCCTAGGTATTTCATTTTCTTTGAAGCTATTGTGAAGGGGGCTATGTCCTTAATTAACTTCTCATCTTGGCTGTTACTAGCATATATAAAAGCTACTGACTTGTGGACATTGATTTTATATCCTGAGAACATTACTGTATTTTTTTGATCACTTCCAGGAGTCTTGTGGTTGAGTCTTTGGGGTTCTCTAAGTATCAGATCATATCATCAGCAAAGAGGAAGAGTTTGACGTCCTCTGGTCCCATTTAGATGCCTTTTATTTCCTTCTCTTGCCTGATTGAATTGGCTAGAAATTCCAGCACAATGTTGAATAGTAGTGGCAATAGAGGAAAAACGTGTCTGGTTCCAATTCTAAGTGGAAAAGCTTTCAGTTGTACTCCATTCAGTAAAATATTAGCTGTGGGTTTGTCATAGATGGCTTGATCAGTTTATGAAATGTGCCCAGGCCAATATTTTCAAGCATTTCCCCTACACTCTCTTCTAGAATCTTTATTGTTTCCTACCTTAAATTTAAATCCTTTATCCAGTGAGAATCATTTTTTGTCAATGGTGAGAGATGTGGGTCCAGTTTCAGTCTTCTATATGTAGCTAACCTATTCTCCAAAGATCAAACGATGATAAGTAGCTGGATTCATTTCTAGACTCTCTATTCTATTTCATAGATCTATGTCTCTATTTTTGTGCCAGTTCAATGCTGTTAATCACTATAGACTTGTATCACTTGATGTCTGGTAACATGATGCCGCCAGATTTGTTTTTATTTCAAAGAACTGTATTGGCTATTTGGGGTCTTCTCTGGTTTCATGTGAAAGAAAGTTCTACTTTTTCAAAATATGACATTGGTACTTTGATGGGGCTTGCACTAAATCTGTGGATTGCTTTGGGTAGTATGGACATTTTAAAGATGTTGTTTCTTCCCAGCCATGAGCATGGTATTTTCTTCGATTTGTTAATGTCTTCTGCTATTTCTTTTCTCAGGGCTTCATAGTTCTCTTTATCGAAATCCTTCACATCCTTTGTTAGATATATTCCCACATACTTCTTCCTTGGAGGTACTATAAAAGGTATAGAGTCTTTGATTTTATTCTCGGCTTAACTGTTGTTGGCATATATAAAGGCTACTGATTTGTGAGCATTGATTTTGTATCACAAGATGCTGCCATATTCCTTGATCACTTCTAAGAGCACTGTAGTTGAGTCCCTGGGGTTTTTCAGGTATAAGACCATGTTATCTACACAGAGCAGTCTGACCTCCTCTGTCCCCATCTGAATACCATTGATCTCCTTCTTTTGCCTGACTGCAATGGCTAGGACATCCAGCCCTATACTGAATAGTAGTGGCAACTATGGGCATCCTTGTCTGGTTCCTGATTTGAGTGGAAATGCTTTCAGTGTTACTCCATTCAATATGATGTTGGCTATGGGCTGAGTGCATCAGACAATGGATTATACAATGATAAGTGAGCTTTCAAGTTCCACCAAAACACTGGAGAACGTAAATGCATATTGATAAGTGAAAGACACCAGTTTCAAAATACTATATACTGTATGATTCTAACTTTATGGAATTCTGGAAAGGGCAAAATTATAGTCAGTAAAAAGGTTGGTGGTTGCCAAGGGCTTGGCAGGGGTGGGATATGGTATGGTGGAGAGATGAATAAGTACAATAGAAGACTTTTAGGAAAGTGAATGTATTCTGTATGACACTGTAATGGTGGATTACTAGGTAAAATGTAGTAGAATTGTACCACACAAAGAGCGTACCTTTTGTAACAAACTGGATGGAACTGGAGATCATTCTTCAAAGTGAAGTATCACAAGAATGAAAAAATAAACACCTCATGTACTCAAGTTGAAACTAATCAATAAAAATTTATGTACACATATGGAAATAAAACCTGACAACAATCAAGTAGGTGGAAAGGGGGAGGAGAGGATGGGTAAATTCACAACTAACAGGTATAGGGGACACCATCTGGGTGATGGGGATACTTAGAACTTCCACTCAAACAGTACAAAAGCAATTTATGTAACCAAAACATTTGTACCCCCACACTATTCTGAAATAAAATTTAAAAAAAAATGAGTGGACTATAAGGTAAACTGTAGACTTTAAACAATAATGTACCAATATTAGTTCATCAATTATAATAAATATACTATACTTTTGCATAATATCAATAATAGTGGAAACTGGGGAGGACTGTATGTGTGGCTGGGGTTGGGAATATATGAGAATTCTGCACTTAGTGCTGAATTTCTCTCTAAACCTAGAACTACTCTAAAGAATATTATCTATTAATTTAAATTAAAAGGAACAAAAATACATATTTTTCTATTTTTAAGACAGAGCCTTTCTCTGTCACCCTCTTTAGAATGCAGAAAGTAGCCTCATCATAGCTCACAGCAACCCAAACTCCTAGGCTTAAGCAATCCTCCTGCCTCAGCCTCCTGAGTAGCTGGATTACAGGCACATGACACCATGCCAGCTAAGTTTTTCTATTTTTAGTAGAGTTCTTAGGCCTCAAATCACGAACAGCCTTGTGGAGAGCAGGCCCACACCTCCAGGGAGGAGGCAACCTGTAAATGCATCTCCCTTGCTAGCAATGGTTTATGCTGCAACCCTGGAGGCAGGAGCCTCAGCAAGCAAACGGAGGAATCTCAGCAGCTGCAGTGGCAGTGGGCAACAGCTCTGACAACGCTGTAGCTGCTGCACACAGTCTGTTCCACCCTCTAGGGCTGTTGTGCCTATAGGAGAAGATGTGCCATCTCAGGCCCCACCTCTCTCCCTGACAGGGCAGAGCAGCTGGAACTGGGAGGAGACTACCAACCTCTTCCTTAGCTGCTCTCCTTGCCTGGTAGGGCTGGAGAGGCTAGGACTGGGAGGAGACATACTGGCCCAGCCCAGCTTCTCTCCTTGACAGACAGAAGACTAGAGAGTGGGGGGTGGGGACTCAAGTTACTGGCTAGGGGCTGTTCCCCGTCCCTAGTCAGAACAGATAGTAAGAGGACTTCCTAAAGAGCTTACACAGGCCTCAGCCCACTGGGCTCATTATCATGTAATTAAACTTGCAAGTTTTAACCCCCATATGTTCTTGCAGAAGGAGGGAGGACACATGCATATTAAGTAGCTTTGTTCTATAACATCAACCTGTAATCACCCCCAAAGAGGGAGGCAATAGCTAATCCTGCTGGGGGAAAGGCAGGATAAACCAGGTAACTTAGCCTATAAAAGACAATGAGTGTTCAGACTCAGAGCCTCTTCTCCACTCACAAGAAGGGACTCATCTCATTTGAGATGTATTTTCCCTGTTGTTTGTGTACTTTTGTTCTACAATAAATGTATGTTGCTGGAGATCACTTTGTGTCTGTGATCATTCCATCATTATCATCAGCTAGGCACCAGTGCTCATTCTTTACCCTGGGAGCCAAGAACCAGGGAAGAACCAAGAAACCTGTCTCTCCAGAGGGACCTAACAGAGTTGGAGGTCTCCTTCCTGCTCAGGCTGGCCTCAAACTCCTGACCTTGAAAAATCTTCCCGCCTCGGCCTCCCAGAGTTCTAGAATCACAGGCATGAGCCACTATACCCAGACTAGAAAGAATATTCTTATTTGCAAAAAAATACTCTTAAAAATACAGTAAAAGTGGCAGCGCCCATAGCTTGGTAGGTAGGGCACCAGCTACATACACCCAGGCTGAAAGGTTCAAACCCAGCCTGGGCAGGCTAAAACAACAATGACAACTACAACAACAACAACAACAACAAAAATAACCAGGCAGGTGCCTGTAGCCCCAACTACTTGGGAGGCTAAGGCAAGAGAATTACTTAAGCCCTAGAATTTGAGGTTGCTGTGAGCTGTGATGCCACAGCACTCTACCCAGGGCGACAGCTTGAGACTTGGTCTCAAAAAATATATATGCAATAAAAGTTACACAGCCTCTATCTAGAAAAATGTATGAAAGTACATACTCATAAAATTGTGTATGCAATATCGTAAGGTTCATAGTCTTCCAAAGGCCACTCACGAGCTCTATCCATGAACTCCCATCTTTTTTTGTTTTGTTTTTATTTTTGAGACAGTCTCACTTTGTCACCCCTGGTAGCATGACATGGCATCATAGCTCATAGCAACCCTAGACTCTTGGGCTCAGGTGATTCTCTTGCCTCAGCCTCCTGACTAGTTGGGACTATAGGTATTCACCACAATGCCCAACTATTTTTAGAGCCAGAATCTTGCTCTATCTCAGGCTGGTCTTGAACTCATGAGCTTATCTGATCCATCCGCCTCAGCCTTAAATACTTATTTCCTTCAAACTAAATGATGTTATATTTGCAATCATAATTTATCTATTCTCATCACTTAAAGATTATCAAGTTTAAATAATAAAATTTAAAAATAATTAAATTGCTATATTTTAAAATTCTGAATAATCCACCAGATTTATTCACTAGTAAATCACCTAAATAAATTTCACAGGTAGAAATAAAAATCTTACCTGCAAAATAGGAAAAGTAGCAGTAGTGATGCCCATTCTGTGTAAATTTAAGAGCATTTCACTTCCACTCCATATTTTACAAGAGGATTCATAATCACGTTCTATAAGATGTTCAGAATTTGCTTCTAACCAACTGGAAAAAAACAATACAGTTTTGTCAGCTAGTATCATCCTTAAATATGTTATTTCAACAGAAGAAGAGAATTGTCATTACTGTCATCATTTATCTGTATTCCTTGAAATTTTTAGGACACAAATGTGGATTAATTAGGATACCTTTAAAAAATAAAGAATGTCTTATATTGTAAAACAAACATTTAATAGCTAAAAAGTAAGCTTATAATGTTATAAATGGTGTTAGAGTGGTAAGTAGAAACAAGATCATCTTGAGTCAGAATAAGAAATTTGGATTCTATTCAAAGTGTAATAGAATGTTTTTTTTTTAATTTAATTTAATTTTTTTTTTTGCAGTTTGTAGCAGGGGCTGGGTTTGAACCCACCACCTCCGGCATATGGGGCTGGTGCCCTACTCCTTTGAGCCACAGGCGCCGCCCAGCAATAGAATGTTTTAAATAGAGAGTTTTAAATACTTAAAACACAATTCCAGCTTCTAAGCCAGAATGGATTGTAAGAGAAAGACAAAAGTGAAAGCAGAGACTTGTCAGAAGGCTATTACAGTATTCTAGTTGAGAGATGATTCTAGGATGACAGATGGGAAAGTGAAAGAAATAAATGAATTTAGGATATACTGTGCAGGTGGCATCTATAAGACTTACCGATGAATCACACCAAGTGAGGCAGTAATTAAGGGTAGTATTTAGATTTTTTTTAATTTTAGGAACTAGTAAATACTGTTTGCTTAGACAAGGAAGACTGGGGCTGGGGGAAAACAGTTTTGTTTGGGTATAAAGTTGCAAAGTTTACTTGATTTCAAACAGAAAAATAAAGTAGATTGTTGAATATATGAGAGTGGCATTCCAAGGAGAAGTTGAGGCTATAGACACAGAATCAAGCTTCACCAGTACCACAGATTATGTCCTAAACTACAGTACTGGATTATATAATTTAGAGAAAATGCAGAGCTAGAAATTAGGTTCCAGAATAAGCTGCTGATGCTGAGGTACTCTAACATGTAGACATCAAAAAGACTAAGAATTATCAAAAGAAATTGAGAAAGAATAGGCTGTGAGAAGGAAAAAACTAGAGATGTCACAAAGAAGTGAAGACAAAAATGCTTTTCAGGTTCAGGGATGGCAGTTTCTACCTGTAATTCCGGCACTCTGGGAGGATCACATTAGGTCAGAAGTTTGAGACCAGCCTGAACAAGAGCAAGCCTTCATCTCTACTAAAAAGAGAAAAATTAGCCACGTGTTGTGGTGGGCATCTAAACTCCCACTTACTTGGGAGGCTAAGCAGGAGAATCATTTGAGCCCAGGAGGCTGAAATTGCTGTGAGTTGGGCTGACACTACGGCTCTCTAGCCTCGATAATAGAGTAAGGCCCAGTCTCAAAAGAAAAAACAAATACCTCTCAAAGGTGATCAATGGGAATATCCAACACTACTGAGAGATTAAGAAACAAAATTAGCCAAGGTGGTCTAATTTTGAGACCAGCCTGAACAAGAGCAAGACCTCATCTCTACTAAAAATAGAAAAGATTACAGTGTAATCCCAGTACTCTGGGAGACCAAGGTGGGTGGGTCACCTAAGCTCACCAGTTCGAGACCAGCCTGAGCTACAGTGAGAGACCCCCTCTAAAAATAGCCAGGCACTGTGGCAGGCACCTGGTAGGCTCAGCTAGTCAGGTGGCTGAGGCAAGAGAATCACTTGAGCCCAAAAGTCTGAGGTTGCTGTGAGCTATGATGCCAAGGTACCCTACAGGGAGCAACAAAGTGAGATTCTGTCTCAAAAAAGAAAAGAAAAAAGAAAAAGAAAGAAAGTAAATCTTTGTTTTGACCCTATAGGGATAATTGATAGCCTTGATAAAGACAGTTTCAGTAGAAACATCCAAACAACACTGATAGGATGGATGAAGGAAAAATAAAAAGTGAGAAAATAGAATTAGTAACTCTAGAGAGAACTCCTTCAACAAATCATACTGTGAAATAAAAATGGCAAAATTCAACACATCAAAAATATCACAATGAAAGCCTCAAGCAGATAGCATAAGAGGGTGGAAAATATTCAAAACTCTTTCTATAGGCTGGGCTTGGTGGCTCACACCTATAATCCTAGCACTCTGGGAGGCCAAGGTGGGTGGATGTCAAGGTGGGAGACCAGCCTGAGCCAGAGCAAGACCTCATCTCTAAAAATAGCTGGGCATTGTGGCAGGTACCTGTAGTCCCAGCTACTTGAAAGGCTACGGCAAGAGAATTGCTAAAGCCCAAGAATTAGAGGTTGATGTGAGCTATCTTTCCACAGCACTCTACCAAGGGCAACAAAGTGAGACTCTGTCTCCAAAAAACCCCCAAAACTCTTTCTATAGGCAAAGAATGAATTCCCTAACTATTTCGGTGATAGGTATACTAAAAGACCTAACTTCACCTCTATACATAGTACAATTCATCCATGTAAAAAAAAGACTTTCATATCCCCTAAATCTATTGAAATTTAAAAATTCACTAATATATAAAGGGTATATGTAAATCAATAAGAAAAAGAATTACCACAAGAACAAAAAAAAAGAAACAGATGTATGTCCACAGGCAACTGACACAAGACAAAATATAAATGGCCCCTAAAGATGCTTCATTTCACTCACATTAAGAGAAATGTAAATGAAAATTACACTAGGATACTGTTTTTCACTTAGCAGAATAGGAAAAAACAACTTTCATTCTCTTAAACATTGATGGTAGGATACATTAGTCCCATACTCACCAATCTATTGTGTAAATTTTAGCAGTATCTATCAAAATTACAAATACATCTATGCTTTGGCCCAACAATTCCACTTATAAAATTATCCTATAGATATATTTGAATACATATAAAGTGGTTTTTATTCAAAGTTAGTCCTATAGCAGTGTAATAATAAAATACTAGAAACAGCTCCCTTTATTAATGAGAGGCTAGTTAAGTAAATTATTGTACATCTATCCAAAGGAACTCTATGCAAGCATTTTTTAAAATTGAAAAAACTTTCTAGATTATAATATGGAATGATCTCCAAAACATATTATTAAGTGAAAAGAGCAAGTTACAGAAAAACATGAAGTATAGTATGCTACCATTTGGACAAAAGATGAGGGATAAGAGAATATGTCTATATATGTATAAACAGGAGCTGAATGAGAAACTTGTTTAGGAGAACAGAAACTTAGCAGATCAGGGACAGGGGAGGGTGGAGGGTTTTCCTAGATAAATCTGTATATGTTTTATGTTCAAACCATGTGACTGTACACCATTCAAATTTTTAAAAAGTACATAGTGAAGCAAACAGAAAAATCCTACAATAAATGGAAGGGGATATAGAGTCAGGGGAGGTTTTCTCTCAGATAATAACTTAATGTCTAATAAAAGGAAAATTATAAAATGTACATTTTAATGAAATTAGTACTAAATATATTATTTTAGAGTACGGAAAGCTTGGCTAATAAAACCTATCAAGGTTCAGCGCCCGTAGCACAGTGGGTACAGCGTTAGCCACATACACAGGCTGGAGGGTTTGAACCCAGCCTGGGCCTGCTAAACAACAATGACAACTACAATAAAAATGAGCCAGGCATTATGGTGGAAACCTGTAGTCCCAATTACTTGGGAGGCTGAGACACGAGCATTGCTCAAGCCCAAGAGATAGAGGTTGCTGTGAGCTGTGACATCATGGCACTCTACCAAGGGTGACATAATGAGACTCTGTCTCAAAAAAAAAAAAATAAATGAATAAACAAAAATAAAATAAAATAAAACCCATCAAACTAGAATCCTACATAAATGGGAATATAAAGCAATAAAGTAAAACCATGATCAAGAATTTAAAAATATATGACTTAAAGTTACATTTTGCTTCTATTCCATGTCCTTTGGGACTGCTAAATTATCCTGCTAAATTAGGAATAAGATTCACAATTATTAAAATCAATTATGTTCACTACATTCTTTTGAACAAGATAAAAAGTTGGACTAGCTTTTTTTAAAGAGTTTAACTGATAAGGAACAACCTATTTCCCAAGTAGCCTGGTTACATAGCTTAATAACCTTACAATACTCCAGTCATGTTTGTAATATTAAAGACAACAGAAATACACTGACAGAAAAATATTCTTACTTAATGAGGCTACAGCATACAGCTCGTAGGGGTTCATGGTCTTTCTTCCGTATATTATTGTTAACCAAACTATCTAGTTCATCTCGAGCAAACCGAAGCTGAACTTCTGTCACACTGTAACTTGCTGATTCCCGAGCACAGTCCTCAATGTTATGGGCTTCATCTAAAATGACAACCTGTTCTTTCAAATTTAAATCCATCTGTAAGATAAAAGAATTTTCCTGTAGAACATTTGGCAAAATGAATTTAATAATAGCAGGCAAGATATTTCATATAAAATTCATACTATAGGCTGATAATGCAAGCACAATTACATAAGCAACCCATTCTCCATCTTAAATGAAACCTATGAAACACTAAGGCTAACCAATATCAGCTCTGTATTCCAAAGTTTGCCATTTTATACTCAGAAAATACTTCATAAACCTTCCAATGAAAAAAAAACATGTGTTAAGTGAGCTGGCTACCAAGGATAGTAAATTCTCCTTAAAGGAGTTTCCAAAATCAAAATTTTTTTTTTTGGAGACAAAGTCTCACTGTCGTTCTGGGCTTGAGGACTATGGCATCATCATAGATCTTAGTAACCTCAAACTCATCAATCCTCCTGCCTCAACCTCCAGAGTAGCTGGGACTACAGGCCCCTGCCACAAAACCTGGCTAATTTTTCTATTTTTAGTAGAGACAGTGTTTCACTCTTTTTTTTTTTTTGAGACAGAGTCTCACTATATCTCCCTCAGTAGAATGCCATGGTGTCACAGTTCACAGCAACCTCAAACTCTTGGGTTTAAGTGATTCTCTTGCCTCAGCCTTCCAAGTAGCTGGGACTACAGGCACCCGCCACAACGCCTGGATATTTTTCAGTTGCAATTGTCATTATAAATTGCTGATTCCCCAGCACAGTCCTCAATGTTATGTTAGCAGGACCAGGCCAGGCTCAAATCCGCCAGCCTCAATGTTAGGTGGCTGGTGCCCTACTCACTGAGCTACAGGCGCCAAGTCAGTGTTTCACTCTTGTTCAGTCTAGTCTCTAAATCCTGAATTCAAGCAATTCACCTGTCTCGGCTTCCCAGAATGTTAGGATTATAGCTGTGAGCCCCCATGAAGGCCCCAAATATTTTTTTTTCTTTTTTGCAGTTTTTGGTTGGGGCTGGGATTGAACCCGACACCTCCGGCATATGGGGCCAGCACCCAACTCTTTTGAGCCACAGGCATCACCCATGCCCCAAATAATTTTTAAAACAGAGTATAAAACTTTGGAAAATAAAATGATTTAAATGACTCTTATAATACTAACACAATGTAGTATATACTTATTTTAATCTGTTCTATAATCCTTCATTTTGAGAATTATTATTCTTCAACTCCTGTGTGATGCTGGCAGGACTATTAATGTGTGAATCAAAGGACATCACCACTTTCACAACAGAGAAGACTCATAACCCAGGCTTACCAGTTAAATACAGTACTCCACCTCTCTGTCATCACAGTGACTGTCATTCAGGAACAGATATATGACACGATCCAAACTAAGCCAGTTGGAATAACTTAAGAGGACTAATATGAAACCGTGCTCTTTTCTCCAGTTTAGTTAACTGTCTGTGGTTATTTTTATTCCCACAAGGTAAAAAGCTTACCTGAGAATAAAGCCATCACTATGAAGAGAGGGTCAAGTATTTTTCCCTTAAACTCTTTTTAAGTTGGGTTTGTATCACTTGCAATTGAAAGAGTCCTGACTCAGCACTTGGGAGGCCGAGGCGGGTGGATTGCCTGAGCTCACAGGTTTGAGACCAGCCTGAGCCAGAGCAAGACCTTGTCTCTAAAAATAGCCAGGTGTTGTGGCGGGTGCCTGCTATTTGGGAGGCTAAAGAAGAAAATCACTTAAGCCCAAGAGTTTGAGGTTGCTGTGAGCTGTGACACCACCACTCTACTGAGGGTGACAAAGTGAAACTCTGTCTCAAAAAAAAAAAAAGAAAAGAAAAGAAACAAAGCATCCAGACTAATACAAGGAAATACCACACAGAAAAAAAATTGTCAGTAAGTTTTCTGAGAAAGAAAAAATACATAAAGAGCTGAAAATGACTGAGAAAGACCCTGGAATAGTATGAAATATCCTGGAGTTTAAAAGATGAGTAGGATTTGGATTTGGACAGACAAAGCATTTCAGCAGAAGTGTTATCAAAAAAAAAAAAAAAAGAACAAGGTATCCTCAGGGGACTAGGAGGTAATTTTTGAAGGGCTCAAGTTGGTGAGATCTAGGTCAGACTACTGAGCATCTTGAGTGTACACTTAAGAAGTATAGACTTTATCTCTTGAGCAAAGGGAGCAATAGGAAATTTTTGCAAAAAGAAAGGAAGTAAGAAAGCAGTATTAGAAAGACTGGGCATTGATACATACATTTTCTTGGGAAGAGACTTAGTTAAGAGGTAGGATAGTAGGGGTAAACATAATGCTTGTTTATTTTGAACCTAAAGAAAGAGAAAGCTGATTCAATACCTGTAGCTCAGCTGCTATGGCGCCAGCCACATACACTGGAGCTGGCATCTTCGAACCCAGCCCAGGCCTGCCAAACAACCATGACAACTACAGCCAAAAAATAGCTGTGTGTTATGGTGGGTGCCTGTAGTCCCAGCTACTTGGGAGACTGAGGCAAAAGAATCACTTAAGCCCAAGAGTTAGAGGTTGCTGTGAGCTGTGACACCACAGCAACAGCACTCGCCCAAGGGCAATATAGTGAGACTGTCTCAAAAAAAAAAAAAAGAAATAGAAAGCTAAGATGAACTGTGCAGTCAGACCTGAAAAGAAAAGGAAAACTGACCATACCAAGGTAGAACTTTTTCATCTTACACTGTAACAACTGCATGTCTTTAAAAACCAGGCAAATAAATGCAAATGATACATCTGAAGTTTACTTCTCAAAGGCTCACAAAGTATAATTCACAAAGCATGCATATTCTCTCAACATTAGTTCTTATAAACATAGCTTTTTCTGGCTCGGTGACTGTAGCTCAGTGCTTAGAGCACCAGCCACATGCACCAGGGATGGTGGGTTTGAACCCGGCCCGGGCCTGCTAAACAACAATGACAACAATAATTAAAAAATATCCCCGGCATTGTAGTGGGTGCCTGTAGTCCCAGCTACTAGGAGGCTGAGGCAAGAGAATCGCTTAAGCCCAAGAGTTTGAGATTGCTGTAAGCTGTGACACCACAGCACTCTATCAAGGGAGACAAAGTGAGATTCTGTCTCCAAAAAAAAAAAAAAAAGAAAAGAAAGAAAAACAACAAAAAATAGCTTTTTCAGAGAAATGTTTTTGTTTGTTTATTTATTTTTAGAGATGAGCTTCCACTATGTCACCCAGACTGGAGTGCAGTGGTGCAATTGCAGCTCACTGTATCTCTACACTGCTGGGTTCAGAGGTAATCCTACTTCAGCCTCCTGCGTAGCTAGGGCTACAGGTGAGAGCCATCACAGCCAGCTAATTTTGTGTGTGTGTGTGTGCGTGCGCGCGCATGAAATAAGGTCACAGTATGTTGCCTGGGCTGGTCCCAACTCCTGGGCTCAAGCAATCCTCCCACCTCAGCCTCCTGAGCAGCAGCAACTACAGGGATGCGCCACTGTCTGGCTATAGAAAAATATTTTTAAACAGTTGTTTTTAACTACTCATAAATGGAAAGAGTGACGGCTATACATGGGTCCCAAATGAAGATAATTTTGTTCCCCAAGAGACATTCAGCAATTTCTGGAAACATTTTTTTTTTTTTTGAGACAAGAGCCTCAAGCTGTCCCCCTGGGTAGAGTGCCATGGCATTTCAGCTCACAGCAACCTCCAACTCCTAGGCTCAAGCAAGTCTCCTGCCTCAGCCTCCCAAGTAGCTGGTACTACAGGCGCCCGCAACAACGCCTGGCTATTTTTTCGTTGCAGCCGTCATTGTTGTTTGGAGGGCCTGGGCTGGATTCGAACCCGCCACCTTAGGTGTATGTGGCTGGCGCCTTAGCCACTTGAGCCACAGGCGCCAAGCCTGGAAACATTTTTAATGGTCACAACTGTGAGGGTGCCACTAGTATTTAGAACGTAAGGCCAGGGAGGTCACTAAACATCCTACAATGCACAAGACAGCCCACCACAACATCCAACCCAAAATGTCATTACTACCAAGGCTGAGAAACCCTGCTATAATCCCACTTGTTTACAATTGCTTGTTATTTTGGAAATTAAAATGACTAGGTCTAAAATTCAGTTTTTAATGCACTTTAAGATATTGTTCAGTACTTTGAGGTTTACACAAATTTATTTACATAAGTTACAGCAAAAAATTAACACATTAAAACATCTAAAAGCTTTATATTCAACATTTATATCACAATAAGTAGGAAAAAAGTTCTTCTAATTTTTACATATATACTCACACTTTCTCTTATTTGTGAATCTAGAAGATAGTTGTAGGGACAAAATATTATGTCAGCATCTCCTATTAGTTCTCGAGCTGTGTAGTATGGACAGGCCTTTAGTTTCTTTCCCAAGCTGACAAGTTCCTCTATATCCCAGGCTTTAGACATCCCTTGGAGAGTCTGCAGTGTGTGTTGATCACTAATTTTATGAACACCATGATAAAAATAGCAGGATTTTCCCTAAAAACAAAGGTGGATAACTGAAATGTGATCCAATATTGGAATAGAAGGCATAAAACCAGTTTATCTCGGAATTTTAGAAATCTTAAAGCCATAGAGTTTGACTAAAATCTTTTGACTAAGATTTTACAGAGATAATAGACAACACCATATCTAAATCACAATCATTTTAAAGAATCTCTATTAGTTGACTTAGATAGAATTCCAGATTAGTAGAGCTCCAGATTCCTTAAATTGAGAAAAATATTTTGAAATATGTTTGTTGTAGCTTTGTTCTGATTACAGTGATACTAGGCAAAAAATATTTCTGGAAGAATACATAGAACAATGGTATCATTGGTTATTTTCAAGGATGAGAACTAAGTGACTTGGTTAGTGGAGGAGGAAAGATTTTTCTTGGTACTACCCTTTTGTACTTTTTCAGTTTTGGACCATGTGACAGTATTGTTTATTCAAATATAAGTAAGGAAGGAAGGTAGGTGACAAGGTTGGAACCTGGTGGGGGGAAACTCAGAAAATACAGAAGAGTAGCCAAAAAAATTCCCTAAATTTTCCATAATTCCATCACACAAATAATATACTATTAACACTTTGATGTATTTCACTTCCTATTTCATGTGTATGTGTGTACATAAGGATATTTCTACAAAGTGATCCATCATTAAAATACTGAGAACAAAGTAAATTTTCCCTAGGCATTGAAGATTATTAACAATCTAGCCACAATAAACATTTTTATTCTTTTTCTTACTTACCACTGTACTAATGAGGATATAAAACTAGATTTACTTTTTTTTATCCTATTTTATTAAAAAATCCTATCACGGCTTGGTGCCTGTGGCTCAAGCGGCTAAGGCGCCAGCCACATACACCTAAGGTGGCGGGTTCGAATCCAGCCCGGGCCCGCCAAACAACAATAATGTCTGCAACCAAAAAATAGCCAGGTGCTGTGGCAGGCACCTGTGGTCCCATCTACTTGGGAGGCTGAGGCAGGAGACTCGCTTGAGCCCAGGAGGTGGAGGTTGCTGTGAGCAGTGAAGCCATAGCACTCTACCAAGGGAGACAGCTTGAGGCTCTGTCTCAAAAAAAAAAAAAAAAAAAAAATCCTATCAGGAAAAAATTCTCATATCACTATTTTTTTAATTGCTGCTCAGATATGTACACTGAAATAATGTGCCATAGTTGATTAATGGTTTTCTTCTTACTGGGCATTTAGACTGTAACTAATTTCTGCTTTATAAATAATGCGGCAGTGAACATTCTTATGCCAATTTCTAAACATTTTCTTAGTGTACATTTTTAGAAATGGCATTGGGGGACCAGAAACTATGAAGTATTTTTATGTTTCTTGAAAATATATAATAACCAAAGTATTCCCCAGAAACTAAGTATAACCATTTTGCATTATCCTTTTCCCACCTCCTTATCAACAGTATTATCTATTATTGTGTTTGTCTTTTTAAAAAGTGACAAATAGTAAATCTTGCCTTGATTTGTATTTTTTAGAGTTTCTAGTAAAGTTTAAATTAACATCTTAAATACTCAAACAAGGTTTAACAGTGATTCGTATTTCTTCTTTTATGTTATCTACTAATATTCTTTTCCATTCTACTATTAGAAATAAAAAATTTCATCATATTCATTAATAAAAAAATAAGATTTAGGCTGGGCACAGTGGTTTACACCTGTAATCCTAACACTTAGGCAGGAAGATTACTTGAGGCTAGGATTCAAGACCAGTCTGAGCAAGACCAAGACCCCTGTCTCTATTAAAAAAAAAAAAAAATAGAAAAATTAGCCAGTCATGGTAGCATATACCTGTAATCCCAGCTACTTGGAAGCCTGAGGCAGAAGAACTGCTTGAGCCCAAAAATGTGAGATTGCAGTCAGCTATGCTGAAGCCACCAGACTCCAGCCTAAACAGCAGAGAAAGACCTTGTCTCAAATTAAAAAAAAAGTCGATAAAACCCGGTCCTAGCAAGAATATCTTACATACTATCAAAAACGTATAAAATTTGACTCAGTGTCCATAGCACAGTGGTTATAGCACCAGCCATATAAACCAAGGCTGGCAGGTTCAAACGTGGCCTGGGCCAGCTAAACAACAAAAAATAAGACAGACGTTGTGGCGGGTACCTGTAGTCCCAGCTATTTGGGAGGCTGAGGCAAGAGAATTGCTTAAGCCCAAGAGTTAGGGGTTGCTGTGAACTGTGACACCACGGCAGTCTACCGAGGGGGTGACATAGTGAGACTCTGTCTCAAAAAAAAAAAAAAGAGTTAGAGTTGCCTATATGCTGATGTGTTAGGCTCTCTAGAAAAATAGATGTTGAATAATGTATATAGAATGACTAATTTCATGTAAATTGTTTTTAAAGACAACATACACATATAGCAAATTTGTATAACAAATCCTTTTTTAAAATGTTATATATAAAAGTTTACAGTGGTTTCTTTGAAGGATTAAGGAGATAGGAAAAGCTAGAGAGAGATTATCTTTACATTTTTTTTTGTTTCTATAATTTTGAGTCTTCTAACCACAAGTATTACTTTTCTTTTCCAATTGTCATTTGGGACTACGTGGTAGAACAATGGGCAATTTTATTTCATCAATTTCATGTATCTACTTAAAAAATGTGATTTTGAAATAAAAATAGTTCTCTTTACCAAATTTTTATCCTTAATATGTAAAAAAAAGTAAATATGATATATATATATTAAATGTCTATATTTTTATCTATGAACTATCCAAAAGAAGAATTCATGTTTTCAAAACATACACACATCAGTATGTACCCAGAAATTGCTAAAAACAGAGTAAACCATCATAACCTATAAGAGAATTTCAGCAAAACAAAGGACAAGGCATGAACAGCTCAAGATCAGTTCTGCTTCAGCTGTTTTCAGTCATGTCAAGGAAAACTGCATGTTGGATCCTCCAAAGTATTACAAATGAAAATTAGGAGGAAAGGGGTTCACCTAACCATTATCTATTTACTTCATTTTCTACATTTGTTCCCTTGCTTTGTGGAACCTTTACTCTTTTTATCTTTTATACTGTGTCCACTTCCCTATACCTCATTGCTATCTTTTGTTTCTAGTGTAATCAAAGTAGCAATAGACCAGGTAGCTGAGTCTACAGGTACCCGTCACAATACCTAGATATTGTTTTGTTGCAGTTGTCACTGTTGTTTAGCAGGCCTGGGCCAGGTTTGAATCTGCCAGCCTTTGGTGTATGTGGCCGGTGCCCAAACCACTGAGCTTTGGGCACCAATCCAAACCCCAAGCCTTTTAAGATTCCTTCTGACTAACTATACCATCTCTAAAGTTCCTTCCAGCTCTAAAATTCTATGATTTTCAATATTCAGAGTTAGGTGCAGATGTGCCGATTATTTTTATACAGAATTTGATGGCAACTAAGTTTAATAATTTAACATTCACTATCTCTTCATTCCAAACATCTTCTGTACAATTCTAAAAGCCTATCTTTATAGAAAATGATCACCAAAGTACCTTCCAAAGCTATGATTAACTGATAGTTCTCATTTTAACAAAATATAAATATTCTAAAATAATTTTTTTACAATTGTCATTCTTGGGTCTAATTAAAATTATTATTTCTTAATTGAAACAAAAATTAACTTTTAGCAGCTACATGCACACTTTTCCAGAATTAAGAGCACTTTAGTAAAAGAAATAGTGAACAAAAACACAAGTGCTTTCTGATCAAGCCAAAAAATCAGAAAGTTTACACTTTAAGGGCAGTTAGAATGACATCCCTGTGCATGCTGATAGGAAAACCAGAAAAACTAATCCATTTTAACAGTGAAACACAATCCAGAGAGGAGCCTGTCAATTGAAGCCTTATCACACTTTAAACTCTTTCATTCAAACTGTCAGTTATCTAATTTATCATTTTGCTTTGGTAATTCAGCCATAGTTAAACATAGACACCTATGGTGACTTTGTAATTGGCCCTCATTACAATACCAAATTACTCAGAGGGCTTGGGAACAAGAAAAAGAATGTTCATGTATGCCCATGAAGTAAGCATTGTGAGGCAGAATTAGGTAAAGGCAAATCACAAACAAATATTTTCAATTATTTATAGTACTAATATTCAAAAATAAAATAATTGTTCACTTTACAACAAACTAAAGTCCAATGAAAAATTCTAAACATTGAAGTCTATTTAATTACTTGTTTGTTTTTTTTATAGAAACAATCTCACTCTCATAGCTCATCAAAGGCTGGAATTCCTTCTGCCTCAACTCTCCATTAGCTGGAACTATAGGTACACATCACCACTTTTGGTCAATTTTTTTTTGTCAAGACTAGGCCTCTCTGTTGTCAGGCCAGTTCTGAATTCCTGGTCTCAAGCAATCCTCCCACCTCAGCCTCCCAAAGTGCTGGGATTATTGGCAAGCCACTATGCCTGGACTTTTTATTTTTACATGATTCAAACTTAGGAGAGTAAAGATCAATTAGAATAACCAGCACTATAGGATTCTAGAAGATCACATAAAATTAGATTATTTGTCTTCAATACACAATCTTAATCTTTTTAACTGCTTTCACCAACATATGTATTTTTTTCCAAATACATAATAATTTTCCTAATAAGAAAAAGATAAAAATATAATGATAATGACAATGACAACAAGTCTTCCTGCACAGGTTATACAGCCAAAAAATAAATTTCAAGCATTTGAGGCCTTCAGCAGATCAGTTAGTCAGTATGGAAAAAGATCTACTTAAGCATGAAATTTGTATAGTTTTACCATGATAAGCTTTTTTTCCCTAGTATTTTTTGACACTTTAATATTTTCATCTCTCCTTAAAGAAAAGCTTTTAAATCTATAGAATGAAGGTATTTCACAATTTCCTCAGTTAGAACTTAATTAGAAATAAAAATGACTATAGATTCAATAGTATTTTTGATTCAATAATTCTGTATTTTCTTCTTGGCTCTGAACAAGTTACTCAAGTTTTTCCATTGGAGTCTCTTACTACTTATACTTATAATCTCATATTTTTATATCCATGAAAGTATCTTTTAAGTATCTTTTAAATATCCCTAAGTAAAGCTCAAATAAATTCTATCTAATAAAAGAAGGCATTAAGGAATAAAAAGCATAATACAAAATAATGTATTAGCATTATACAGTAGGAGGTGGTATACCCTGAAAGAAACTCTAGGGGCTGTCTTGTAGTTTTTTGTGTATAGCACCAATTCTGTTTGATAAAATACTAGTGAAAGACAAAGTAACTTTCAAAATATATCAAAACAGCATTGGTCATTTTATATACTATCAATTTATGGTTTACTGAATTCGAGGTATAATTTCAACTCTAATTTTAGAGTAAAATAGTTATCATACCAGAACACAGACTCCCAAATGCTGTCCAAAAAATTATTTAAAAATCATTAAAGTTTTTAGTAATAAAGACATCTTTTCTATTTCCACCTATCCAAAACTCAAAATATTCTAAATTCTCTAAAAATTTTCAAAACCATGGCATTTTTAAGGTTAATAATTTAGGATAAGTTTTAAAAAAGAAGTTTGTACTGACAGAACTGTAAGACAAGATAATTATTTCTAATTCAGTTTATAAAACACTTGAAAATTTGCTCAGAGAGCCTAAATAAACTATTTTCTTTTCAACTTTTTAAATACGTAAAGTATATTAGACCTATAGGCCTAAATCATTTAAATACTTTTTAGCTTCTCATATGACATCCACATTTGACTACTGTTTGTTAAAAGAAGTAAGAAGATACCTGACTACAATGGAAATTAATTTCAAGGAATTAAATATCTCCATTTTTTAGGACCAAACCTCATAATTTTAAACTTGACTGAAGATTTTCTTATGCTAAAATTATTTCCAAAAAATCAATACTAGCAATTAATTTGATTTTCCTAAGTTATTTGATTACCACTAGAAATGTACATGTGAAAATATTGAATAACTTGAACATTTTCAGCTTTATTTTTTTGCCAAAACAAAATAACTCTACTCACATTTTTTCCATCCAGTAATTCCATGCACTTTTCATTTCTGTTGAAGTTGCCGACTACTTCAGGATGGACACAAGTATGATCCCTGCTGGAAAGAATAGTCATTGGGACCCCTGAGTACGCTGTCCTCCGGAGCTCTTTAGTAATCTGAGCAATCTGCTTGTGTGTGCGTGTCCCAAAATATATTTTAGGTATCTTGAATTTCCCCCCATGATCCTTCTTAGTGGTATTTGAAGACTCTTGACTGTTTCCTTGTTTAGTAGAACAGCACTTAGAACAGTGGCCAGGGGGCTGTAACAAAGGAAAGAAAAGATAACTAGTATCTAAACTTTTATTTTAAAAAAGTTAGCAAATGTCTCATGGAATCACATTCTATAAGTAATGAATCACAGTGGTCAAAAAGAGAGAAATCTCAAGATATTATAGTATCTAAAACTTGCCATTAAAAATAAAACTACAAATTGCATTTCCTTTGGTCTTTTTTCTCTATTTTAAAAGTTATAAACGACGTTCCCATACTTACATTCTTTCTAATATCACATTCCAACTTTCTAATTCAAAATATTTTAAGAACATTTTTAACTCACTTCATAAATTATAAAAAATGATAAGACAAAGTACAGGACAATTTTAATTTTTGCTTAAGTTTCAAATGAACTTATGACATTACAGTTTAAACCAGCATAGCTCATTCAAATATCCAATGTCAAATATGCCAATATTTTCTAAAGACTTTTAAATATGGTTTACAAAAAGAATTAGTAAATTGAATCTAAACTATCACTAAAAAACAAAAAAGAGAAGAGAAAGTTCTTCTCTAGCAAATGTATGAAAATGAATGCAAAATAATATTTAATAGTAAAGGCAGGTTGCTTGTATGGAACAAATACATATCTGAAATTCAATTACCTGTCATGGAATGCAAACCTGACAGTAAAATTATCCAGGATTTCTTTTCCTGGACAATTTCACTCATAATTCAGCTTCATAATTAGAAGAGTTATATAAATGTCTCCTCACGCAACTATATAGAATATCATGACTATATTCTAATATTTACCTGATTTTCCTCTCTTGTTCTCCAAATTCTCAAATATAAAAAAGGTTTAATGCTGTATGCTAGAACTCACAGGTTTATAACTACTCCTTTCTAAGCTTCAATTATTACTACACCAAATGAGACAGAAAGAAGATTTAATTTGTGGAAATACTGTAAAATGGTTAATTTACAGCAGTAGTTACTGATGGAGAAAAAAGGTAAATAGTATAGTAACTTAAAAATTGTGTACTGGAGAGTTTTAGTTTAGTAGAACAAATACTCTACTTGACTGGAGTATCTTTTTTTTAATTGTAATCAGTAAGATTAGCCTTTATAAACAAACGCTAAGTCATAGCATGTTACACCACAATACTGGGGATCAAGCTGTCTTTTAGCCTCAACTCAGTGGAAAAGCAAGTTCAAATTACTCTCAGTCTCTCTCAACCTTGTCCGCCATTAAATATTACAATACATGATAGAATGGATGTAAATGTGACCCTTCTGGAGCTGTCACTCACTGGGATAAAAGGTTCACTGATGTGCCAAATAAACAGTCAGTCAAAGCAGATAAAGTTACAGCCATGCTGGAATTGTTACATTCTCCTATCAGGTTGCCAGTAACAGCAGATTTCATTACAGAGTGCTGCCACATTAAATAGCCAGTTCCAAATATCCTGCCTTCTATATTGAATAATTACTTATTCACTAAAAGGATAAAAAGAAGAATTATGAATGGGGCTCTTGTCAACAGAGAGGCAGGAAACAGCTGACAAGTGGTTTATGTTACATATGTTGCAATATCCAACAATTTATAGTCACACAGAAAATGGAATGCAAATTATATCATTCTATTTGTGGCTGAATTCTTCTTGGCCTTTGCAATGATTACATTAATTAATCAACATACTAAAAGAATTAGGATAACTCTAGGTAGCAGAGTTGGTTTGCTTTTTATACCTTCAATCTTTTCACTCAATTACACTATTTTTCTTCCTAATAATATAGTAAATTCACTTGAATATTCGAACACTATGGCCCAGTGCATAATTATACATATATTATATCCACAATATAATTAGAGTAATCCAATAAAGTGGTCTTTTTTAAGGCTTGGAAAACCTACTTTTTGACATAACACTTTTCAACATCAATTCTACTTAAATGTTTACCACCTATGCCTTTTAATGCCACCTTTTTTTTCTGACCAAAAAATTCAAACCATATAGAAGTATACAAAATAAATAACCCATCACAAATAATTTCCCCTTTAAAGGATAATATTATACAGTTTTATAACAAGATAGTTTGTATGCAAACTTTCTAATTTTTAAAAGGGGTAAATTTGGCACTAAAATTTAACTGCATGTTGTTCTGCTTATCTTAAAAATGTTATACCAGTAGTGTACTAATAAAAGTAAAAGATCAAGATCTAGTTTCAAAAAACTTTTCTCACTAGAGTGGCTTTATTTAGGTACCTTAAGTTTGATTTTACTCCACAATTCAGAATATTATAAGCCACAGTTAATTTTATACTAAACACGTCCTTTATTTTTCAAGTTTTAAAATGATCTGAACTAATTATACCACCTATAAATAAGAGGTAGATTTCTCAAGAAGACAGTTTCAATGGGTGGTTAGGCAAGTAGAACAGAAGATGGAAATAAAGAAAGTTGATTCTTTTCCCTTCACATCATTAAAGAAGTGATCTATTATGTTTCTCTTTGGCACAATCATATTTGAAGACAGAAAAATTGATTGTGGCAGTATACTAGATCCTTCAAAAAGACATTTATTTAATAACAAAAGAGAATTGCATGTACCAAAATCAGCAACTTGAAATACAGTAAGATCCTGCCTGAGCAATAGGACAGGACAGGAAAGGAAAATGCTATCAAAAAAGCAGACCAAAGAAAGATTATGATAAAAGTAATGACAGGACGTCAGAGTATCCAATTAATAAGCTAACTTGATGGCCTTTCTCTAAAAGCTTTTGACCTAGGGGGTCTTGAAACAATTAGAGTAATAAAGTTAAATAATTTTATATCATTTACTAAATATTTCTTCTGCTAACAAATGATCATGTTTCTCTTTCATAAGGATGCTTTCCTCTCCCTTTTGCTCTTTAAGTGTACAGAGATTGCATTAGAAAACTGGAGAACGAATTTAAAAGTATTCATTCACATCCAATATAGCTGAAGATCAACAGACAAAATAGAAGGAGTGGGAGGGGGTGAAGAATAAAATCTTATCTATTGGGTACAATGTACACTATTCTGGTGATGAGCACACTAAAAGTCAACATTATACAATTCATCCAAGTAATAAGAACACTGTACCCTCTAATATTCTGAACAAACAAAAAACCCCAAAACACATGGGCTGTCAACTCTAAGACCTGTGAGTGACTACATTCAGTGTCAAAATCAAACTCTTTAAGAGATAGACTCCTCTCCATACCTAGAAACTGTTCGAGGTCCTTTTACTTCAACAAAAGGTAAGAAAATCCAACCCCAAATATATCATCATTTAAAAAGAAAAACAAGAGATAAATGTCAATGTGACAGCTATAATATTTCCACATGCAGGGCTTGATGGTTTAAAAATACATTTCAAATGCATAATAACCAAATGGTTCTTAGAAGATCAGCAAGCAAAGAGTTTTAGAAAATTTTCCTCCTGTTAATAAATTCTATGTAGCCCTTCTCTTATCATATTATATAGAGACATAGTTAAATTCTTTGAAAAGATGAAGGATTAGAAGATTTGATCTTGAGAGAAAGGCCAACTGCTAAGTCCTTGCCACTATTTCTTTCACAAAGCTATCATTATAAGTTCAAACAGTAACTTACTACAATGTCAACTTCTAAAGTTTCATTAATTACCTCTAAACTTTCCCCACCAAAAAAAAAAACCCTATGACTCAATACTTGAAAAATAAAGTGAGCATGGTGATTAAATATTTTAAGAAATGAAAAATGATAAAGAAATAGTTAAAATTAATTTCATTGCCAGAAACAAAGTTATTTTGCTAACCATAAATCAGGGAACTTTCTAAAAGGAAGCTATAAATTGAATTCTAAAAGCAGGCATAAAAGTGTATATTTGATATGAAAAATATGTGCATATAAAGAAGTAGAGAGGAAGAGACTGAACAGAAGCTATTTGAATGAAACAGAGGGAAAACTAGGTCAATGAAACAGTGAGCTGTGTTTTCCATAGCTTTCCACGTGTGCGTGTGTCTTTCCAATCACACTAAAAATTCCTTGAGGCAAAAACTATGTCTTACATTTCTTTATATAATTGATTCATCGAGCATGGTGTTTTGCACATAACTGTAACTTAGTTTTTTTTAGTTGATGGACTTCAACTAAATGTTCCTAAGTCAACTACTGTACCCATGTACCATATTTTTAAAATCTGACATGTTTAAATGTGCCCTAATTTGAAGTGCTGCACATATCAGAAAGTTACTTCAAAATCAAACAATTAGCTTTTAAAAGAAAAAGTATAGGAGAATTTGTTACTTTTCAAGGACAAAAAGAAAAATCATGATATGCTATATTTGAGTCACTTTAGTTGTGACAAACACATATCCTGATATGTTCATTAATAATAATAACTGCCATTTATCAAGGCTATCCCAGTGCTAAGCACTTTTCATGTACTATCTCATTTCATTCACTCATTCTTTCAAGAAACATTAGAATCCTTGATATATTGAGCCACGTAGAAGACAATGACAAGGGCTGCCTCATCTCAGCAAAGAGTGCTTTACTCTTTAATTGCTCTACAAAGCATAGTTTCTGGAATTTATCAATTATCAGTATCATTTATAAATTAAGGAATTGCTTAAAGTTTGTTCTAAGTCCATTATTTTCTGAATGTAATTAAAAAATATTCTTAAGGGTAAACTATAAACTTTACTTCATAAAAATTACTTATACTTACTAGCTGACATTTAAATCAAATATTTCTAACAAGATCCATGTTCTATTCCACAAGGAAAGAAAAAGCAAAAATTTTCACTTAAAAGACTCATAGAGCAAGAGTCAGGAAACCTTTTTTGTAAAGGCCCAGAGAGTAAATATTTTGGGCTTTGTGGGCCTATAGGGTCTCTGTTACTACATAAGAAATTATCTTTTATGATCCAAATGCAGGGAAAGATTTCTCAAAACAATAAACCAAAATAGCATACAACTTCATTAACATGTAAAATACTTCTACTTAAAAAGACATCTTCCAGGACAAGCAT